CCTTCTCCAATGCATGAAAGTGAAAAGGGAAAGTGAAGTCACTCAGTCATGTCTGACTCTTCGCGACCCCATGGACTGCAGCCTACCAGGCTCCTCCGTCCACTTGAGGGCAAAAAGTTGGAAGGTTTTATGCATGGATATGGGCCACCTCTAAAACAGAATGTGTTCAATAAATACTTGCTAAATGAGAACTGCAATAGATATCTCTTATGGACTGAATGTTTTGTCCCCCCTTCATTATGTTGAAGCCTTAACTCCCAACATGATTAGAATGTAGGGCCTTTGAAAGGTAACTCGATGTAGATAAGGTCATAAGGGTAGAACCCCCATAACAGGCTTAGTATTCTTATAAGAAGAGACACCAGAGCTTCTTCTCTCAGTCTTGTCAGGATCCTGTGAGAAGGCAGCTGTCTGCAAGCCAAGAAGAGTCCTCATCAAGAACCAAATCTGCTGGTACCTTGATCTTGTTCTTCCCTGACTCCAACAAAACTGTAAGAAATAAATGTCTGTGGAAGTGTCAGTCGCTCAGTTGTATCTGACTCTTTAAGACCCCATGGACTGTAGCCCGCCAGGCTCCTCTGTCCATGGAATTCTTCAGGTAAGAATACTGGAGTGGGTAGCCATTTCCTTCTCCAGAGGATCTTCCCAACCCAGGGATCAAACCCAGGCTTCCTGCATTGCAGGAGGATTCTTCACTGTCTGAGCCACCAGGGAAACTCTTAAGTCACCCATCCTATGGTAAATTGTTACAGCAGCCAGAGTTGACTAAAATGACATTCTCTCTGATTGTGCCCAACTCCAGTGTGTTCTAAAGCACAACCTTTTAGGTTATTCCCCTGGTCAAAACTCTTGGAGAGCTTTATACTGATAGACTACAAACTTCTATACTTTTTAGCCAATCATTCAGGAACTACCCAGATTCTCAGCTTCCAGCCTGCCACTCTAACACCATCCTCCACATGTTTATTCTTCTACCCCTGACTTGCCTCAGACTGCTCCCTTCCCCTGCACTATCCCAACATGTTCTGACACTGCCTCCTTTCACTTCAGGGTCCATTTCAGCTGCCACTGCATCCAGGGACCAACATAGCTAGAGGTCCTTTCTGCATCTCAACACCTCCTTCCTCTACTCACACCTGTCTTTTTTTTTTTTTTTTTATTTCTATTAGTTGGAGGCTAATCACTCTACATCATTCAGTGGTTTTTGTCATACATTGAAATGAATTAGCCATGGATCTACATGTATTCCCCATCCCGGTCCCCCCTCACACTTCCCTCTCCACCCGATCCCTCTGGGTCTTCCCAGTGCACCAGGCCCGAGCACTTGTCTCATGCACCCAACCTGGGCTGGTGATCTGTTTCACCCTAGATAATATACGCTCACACCTGTCTTTTTCTAGTGCAATCACATTTTCCATGAGAGGATATAGTCAGAAGAAAAAAAATCACCTATATTTGAAACTGGCTTAAAGATTCTCTTAGGAGGACTAACCCTATAATCCAAAACACCATTTCTCAAATGAACCGAGGGGCCACATTATAGGGAAAAGGAAACAAAAACACAACCAGAACCACAAATGCTAACACTGTCAAGTGCTAACACAGTCAGATGCTAACACTGATAAGTAGCTGTAAGAAACAAAACTGAGTATCATTTTTCACCACTGCTCCCATGGGAGCATCAACTACAGCAGTCAAATCACCACCACTCCCAACTCTTTATTTCGAAGACTATCCCCAGGAACATCAATGAAACTCAGATGATCAATGCATGTGCAGCCCCTGTCTTGCTCACCTGGCTGTGAGCTCCTTGGGGACAAGGGCCTGTGTGATCCAACTGATAAACTTTACTTAACACATCACGTTAGCTAGATGCTTTGGGCAAAGCCCCACATTTCACCTTCCCACAGAACCACTACGAAAGTTCTAAAGCCAATTTCAATTCTAAGACTATCAGATTCTATGAAATTAGTGTGCAGACCCTGTGGTCCCTGAATGAGGAAGGAAAGACAGATGCATGTCCTAAGAGCAGAGAGGCAGTGACCAAAATAATCCTACCAACTGGGTATCAGAAAGGGACCAGCTCTAACCTAACCCCCTACCTCTGCCCTATCACCAACAAGTCATTCAAAACGAGATTCAAAATCCCACTAGGATGCTCCACTGGCTAAGATTCCACATTCTCAATGCAAGAGCCAGGCTTGATCCACCTTGTCAGGGAACTAGATCCCACGTGATGCAACTAAGAGTTTGCATGCTGCAATGGAAATCAAAGATCCCCCATGCACAACAAGAACCAGCACAGCCAAATAAATAAAAATAATAAATATTTTCAAATGGTCTTTTACCTTATTTTTTAAGTTTTCTTAAGGCAAGTAATTTAACTAGTGATTAAATAAGGGCAGCATAGTGTTCCTATTTTTATTATATTACAAAATATTTTCTAACAAAACTTTCTACAACCTCAAATTGCAACACATGAACTAGTTCTTCATAAACATTTTTGAATAAGGTTTGGTTTTCATTCTTTTATTTCATCTTCTGTTTTCTTATAAGCTCTAAGGGAGCCCATGTTAACACACTTCTTGGCATCCCTGTTCTAAGTCATCCTGGTGGCTCATGTGCTGATTTTTACAGCTTCTCCCCTTGATATGTCACATTCCTCCCAGTAGCTCAATCCCATTGATTTCAACTCTATTACTCCTCTTTTTCTTCTCCCTTTTTAATGCTTAACTTTTATAGCCAAAGAATAAAGTAAAAATTCCATAACATCTCTAAATGAAACAGCTCGAGTGTTAAATTAACTTTATATCCACATTATTTTTATGTCTAACTACATAGTATATCCATATTCCCAGCTCCCATGTACTTATACTCCTGGTGAAAATGAATCTGGAAATTAACGCTTTGAGGAATACTCCTTCCCAACTGCACCCCTAAAAAAACAATGGCATTTGGAAAACCTCCAAACAGGCAAGGCTAGAAACTGACAAGTCTTTTAGAATACAAGAAACATAAAACAATGAATGGGTGGACGTTGGGACCCAAGAAGCTCTGGGCCCAGAAGACCTTAGTCAGGCAACTTCCATGGGGAAACAGGGGCGCAGGGGTCCCCGCACAAGGGGAGGACCAGAACCAGGTTCAGTGCACAAGGGCCAGCAGGTCTCCTCACTCCTTCATGCCATGGTCTGCACCACTGGGGGAAGACAGGAAGACCTCCCACTGTAAGACCAGGTTCTGGACTGGATCCAGAAAAAGGCAAAACTATAGAGAGAAGCAGGCAGTGGCAGGGAGAGAGAAGAAAATATCAAAAGAAACAAGAGGATTTCACACCAGATGAAAGTATAATAGAACAATGAGAAAAATAGTACATTAGGGTCATTTGTACATTTTAAAATGCACAAACATTTTAAAACACATACATATAAGAAATTAAGAACCAAAAAATAGGCAGATATAAACTGAATAGTAACTTTAGAAATAAGAAATACAATCATGGCAATAAAAGTTCAACATAAACACACAACTGTACACAAAGAATTAATAAACCGGAAAATAACACCAGAGAGTCCAGCCAGAAGGAAGCACTAGAAAAAGACTTATAATTGTAAGAAAGTAGTTAAAGAAAAATGGAGACAGAATGGAAAGCTGTACTGTATAGTTAACAGAAGTCCATTCAAGAGTTCAGAGCAAAATACAGTTATTTTCAGAAGTGCAAACACAAAGGCAGTGACCATTCATAGACCCTTGGTATGGTTTAAAAGACAAGTGAACAAAGAGAAGAAGAGGGATACAAAAAACAACAGTGAATATGAAAACTGATAACATATATTGGTGAATTTAACTGCTAATTGTGCACTATCACAATCTGAATGCTAAAATAAGCCTAAACCCTAGACCATAACGACAAAGCAGACTCAAGAGAACTGAAGTTTTTGTCTCTCACGTAGAGCAGGGTAAGAGTAAATGATCTGCTGAGCAAATGGTGCAGGAAAGACAAGTCAAAACCCAGGCGTGAACTTTCTTTGTCAGTTTTCAAAGATGCTCTAGTTTAAACATGGAAACCCGATTTCTCTCTTCCTCTAGGTAAGTCTGGAAACCTGATTTCTCTCTTCCTCTAGATAAGCCTCCGGTATAACAGAAAATTTTACTTTGAAGAAAGAAAACAAGTAATACCACTTACAAAATCAGTGGAACATCTCTCTGATTTCACAGAGTAAAAATCAAAACATAACTGTAGATTTGGTCAACCAATGTACTTAAAGATGCTGTGTTTGTATCTTTCTTACTGGGTATTTGCAGTGAGGCAAATTCCAGGACCCTGTTTTAAAGAATCCTAGAATGGTATTCTTGACATTAACATTTCTAATATTAAGGGGAAAAAAACCTGAGGCAAGATCCCTCTAAAGAGCTTTTTTCTTTTTTAAACCAACACTTTAGGTATCTTTACACACATCAAGTCATAATCCTACAGCTGAAAAAAAATATTAGCACTGAATATAATGAATGTGTGCCATCAACCTTATCTGACTTATCTGATATCACTTATCCAGGTAAAATATCTCTATCTTGGATGCTATTACCATAATACAAGTAAGTCTGGACATTTGGGTCCCAAACAATGGATGCATTCATTCATCCTCCCACCTTGAAATCCAAGTCTGAAGTTGGGTCACAGATTACTTCATAAAAACACATTTTTGGAGATAACATTAAGCCTTCAACATCCTCTAGTACACAGTAAACATTGGGCCAGTTTTACAGTGTTCACAGCAGGGCATGCTTCCTTCTTGGAGTTAATCCCATCAGGTGACTCTAGGCAGAGAGCAGGCCATAACCACTGTCAGACAACAGGGTTCCCAAAGACTATCTTGTGTGAAAAGCATTTGCTCTTCAATCACCTTAAACTTTGCTGAGAACAGGAGTATTAATGTCAATCCTATTCAATGCAGAAACTACTTTAGAGTGACTTAAGAAAGGAAGACAGTGAATGCTGTTACCGGAAGAGTAAAGAAAGATGGGTGCTTCGCTTCATCTTCATATTTGCCTTCAGCTGAACTTCCAGCCTCCATGGATTTGGACGTAGTGTTCTTACCAATACCCATCATTAAGAGAAAAAGAGTAGCCTGGGGACTGAAGTGGTTGGAAGTTAAGGCTTGTCAACAGAAGGAGCCCAGGATCAGAGTCAGCTCTTCCAGTGCCGATTCTCAGGCAGAGATGAGCCCCACAAGTGCCATTTCTTAGCACCTAGAAAAAGAGAAAGCAGCCAAGTCATGTCAAGCATACAAACAACACAGGACACACAGACACTATGTTTCCTGCACAGGAAAGTCAGAGTACAATTACATCCAAACATTAAAAAAACTCATCACTTAATCACTTTTCAAATCCTCATCCACCTTCATTTATAGTCATTAAGATTCTGAACCACCCTCTGGAGAGGGGGACCATCGAAACTGACTATCAAAAACATCAAAATACTAGGGAGGAAAAAAATAGAAGAAGCATTTCTTTGACATGCATTACAGTATCTATCTTTTAGTCCAGCACTATCCAACAGAACCTTTCTACAATGATGGAAATATCCTACATCTGTCTTGTCCAATACATTCGTCACTAGTCCCAGGATACTAAGCACTTAAAATGTGACAAGTGCAAGTCTTCCCTGGGGACTCAGTGGTAAAGAACCCAACTGTTAATGCAGGAGACACGGGTGTGATCCCTGGTCCGGGAAGATTCCACGTGCCACGAGGCAACTAAGCCTGTGTGCCACAGCTACTGAGCCTGTGCTCTAGATCCTGGGGGCCACGTCTGCTGCAGCCTGTGCACCCTAGAGCCTGTGCTCCACAACAAGACAAGCCAGCACAATGAGAAGCCCCCACACAGCAACTAGAGTAGCCCCCACTTGCAGTAACTAGAGAAAAGCCCACAGCAACAAAGATGCAACCATAAATAAATAAATAAAATTATTTTTTAAATGTAACTAATGCAGATACAGAAACTGAACCTCCATTTGTATCAAATTTAAGTTTGGCTAGTGGCGATCATTGCCTGCAAAATCCCATGGACGAAGGAGCCTGGTGGGCTGCAGTCCATGGGGTCGCTAAGAGTCGGACACAACTGAGCAATTTCACTTTCACTTTTCACTTTCATGCATTGGAGAAGGAAATGGCAACCCACTCCAGTGTTCTTGCCTGGAGAATCCCAGGGACGGGGGAGCCTGGTGGGCTACCGCCATCTATGGGGTCGCACAGAGTCGGACACGACTGAAGTGACTTAGCAGCAGCAGCAGTGGTGATCATACTAGACAGCTCAGCCACAGCCAACTTACTAGGATTGTATGGATCTTAGCTCCCCAACCAGGGACTGAACCTGCACCTTCAGCAGTGAAAGTGTGGAGTCTTAGCCAAAGGACCACCAGGGAATTCCCTAAGATAGAGAGAAAAATACCACATGCAAGTAGAGGGGAGAAGGGACAGGAAACATTCACTGTCACTCAGGTTAGAACAATCAGATCTTAGCATCAATTAATTTCCCACAGAGAATGAATAAGCCAGACAAGCTGTCCTGCAAATGAGAAGGCAGGCCTACAAGGAGTTTGGAAAGACAAGTAGAAAACCTTTTGTTTAAGGAATTTTCTTAAGACGCCTCAATCAACAAATACTTTAGATAGGCTGGAGAAAAACAGAAATATAAACAATAAGAAAACACAAAACCGGAGAATTCAACAGTTAAAGGGCAAAAAAGAAAAATAATAGAAATAGCTGCCAGAACGTCAAGTTGCCTCAATGGGATAGAGCTAGGTACACAAACACAAAAATTTTTGAGGTGGCTCTTTCAGTTTAAATGTTCATCCACATTCTGCATTCATGTTCACATCACATCCATGACTCTTAAAGCAGTGGCTCTCAGTGAGGAGTGATTTTTTTTTCCTCCAGGGGTTATCTGGCAATGTCTGAAGACACTTTTGGTCATCACAACTGGGAGATAGCTACTAGTAACTAGTAAGTGGAGGCCAGGTGTGCTGCTAAACATTCTGTAGAATGCATAGGATAGATAATTTTTTGTTATATTTGATGCAAATATCTTAGTCCAGCGTTTTGCTTGCTTGCGAATCCTGTGAATGATCTTTTAGAATTGTTTTATTTTTATGTAACCAAATCCATCAGTCTTCTACAATGTGATTTGGCCACTGCCATCCATCAGCTTTCCAAGATCTGAACAAAAAAAGAGTGTGACAACAAGCATACCTAAATATATTAATAAAATCTTCCTGAAGAGACCCTTACAGATTTTTACCATGGCCAAGACGTTATGTTTTTCAGAGATAGGACAAGCAAAGAGGATGGTGAAAACTGTTGGGTCTTTATAAGAATACTTGCCATAGAGTCACATCCAGAGGGACCATAACCTCTTTGCTTTACATCCAGCCCCACTGCCATTTGCATGCCAGCAGAGCTTTCAAATCGACACTTATCCAAGTTAACTTTAGGGGAGACGAAAGAACTTTAATGTAGAATACATTTATTCTACTTGCTAGGGAAGACTGAAGGCAGGAGGAGAAGGGGACAACAGAGGATGAGATGGTTGGATGGCATCACCGACTCGATGGACATGAGTTTGAGCAAGCTCCACGAGTTGGTGATGGACAGGGAGGCCTGGTGTGCTACAATCCATGGGGTCACAGAGTCAAACATTACTGAACAACTGAACTGAAGTGAACCCATGTTAATTTTAGCTACAATGACAGGACTTTAATGTAGAACACATTTATTTTACTAGGTTAATTTTATTTTCATGTTTGTTTCAGACGTATACGTCCATTGCAGGAGCCAACCGTCCCCACTGGCCCTCATCACCAGAAACAGAGAGAGATAAAATTCCATCTGGACAAGACTACTTTTCATCAAGTACTGGACTCCATTTCTCTACCCGATGTTTAACTGACCCTCACAAGCTTCCTCAAGTGTGCAGTCAAGTGGGCCTTAGGAAGCATTACTATAAACAAAGCTAGAGGAGGTTATGGAATTCCAGATGAGCTATTTTAAAATCATTTAAAGATGATGCTGTACTCAATATACCAGCAAATTTGGGAAACTCAGCAGTGGCCACAGGGCTCAAAAAGGTCAGTTTTCATTCCAATCCCAAAGAAGCGCAAGGCCAAAATGTTACAACTACTGCACAATTGCGCTTACCTCACATGCTAGGCAAGGTAATGCTCAAAATCTTCAAGCTAGGCTTCAACAGTATGTGAAAGAAGAACTTCCAAATATACAAAAATAAAGTCAGTCGCTCAGTCGTGTCCGACTCTTTGTGACCCCATGGACTAGAGCCCACCAGGCTCCTCTGTCCATGGAATTCTCCAGGCAAGAAATCTGGAGTGAGTTGCCATTTCCTTCTCCAGGGGACCTTCCCAACCCAGGGATCAAACCCAGGTCACCCGCATTGCAACAGACTATTTACCAACTGAGCCACCAGGGAAGCCTTAAGTGTAGATGTACAAGCTAGATTTAAAACAGGCAGAGGAACCAGAGACAAAATTACCAACATCCACTTGATCACAGAAAAAACAAGGGAATCCCAGAAAAACATCTATTTCTGCTTCACTGACTACACTAAAGCCTTTGACTGTGTGGATCACAAGAAACTCTGGAAAGAGATGGGGATACCAGACAGCCTTACCTGCCTCCTCAGAAACCTGTATACAGGTCAAGAAGCAAGAGTTAGAACTGGACACAGAACAACGGGTTGGTTCAAAATTGGGAAAGGAGTATATCAAGGCTGTATATTGTCACCCTGTTTATTTAACATATTCAGAGTATATCATATGAAATGCTGGGCTGGATGAAGCACAAGCTGGAATCAAGTTTGCAAGGAGAAATATTAATAACCTCAGATATCCAGATGACACCACCCTAACAGCAGAAAGTGAAGTGGAACTAAAGAGCCTCTTGATGAAGGTCAAAGAGGAGAGTGAAAAAGGTGACTTAAAACTCAACATACAAAAAGATCATGGCATCTGGCCCCATCACTTCATGGCAAATAGAAGGGGAAAAATGGCAACAGTGACAGACCTTATTATTCTTGGGCTCCAAAATCACTGCGGACAATGTCTGCAGCCATGAAATTAAAAGACACTTGCTCCAAGGAAGAAAAGCTATGAAAAACCTAGACAGCGGGTTAAAAAGCAGAGACATCACTTTGCTGAGAAAGGTCCATATAGTCAACACTATGGTTTTTCCAGTAGTCATGTATGGTTGTGACAACTGGCCCATAGAGAACGCTGAGCGCCAAAGACTTGATGCTTTCGAACTGTGGGATTGGAAAAGACTCTTGAGAGTCCTTTGGACAGCAGGGAGATCAAACTAGTCAATGCTAAAGGAAAATAACCTTGAATATTCATTGGAAGGGCTGAAGCTGAAGCTCTAATCCTTTGGCCATCTGATGCTAAGAGCCGACTCACTGGAAAAGACCTTGATGCTGGGAAAGATTGAGGGCAGGAGGAGAAGGGGGCGACAGAGAATGAGATGGTTGTATGGATCATCAACTCAGTGGACATGAGTTTGAGATAGTGAGATAGTGAAGGACACGCTTCCCTGTCCTGGCGTGCTGCACTCCATGGAGTTACAAAGAGTGAGACCCGACTGGGCGACTGAACAACAACATAAGCTATACTGAGGGGACCCATCCACTCCCTTGTGCCAGTCTCTTACAGAAAAGCAGGCTTTGGAAAGTCCTAAAGACATAGAACCAAGTAAGCATAAAAGGTTTTGGGGCCAAAGAAAGTATAGGGCAGGAAGTTTGAGAAAAGTTTTGGGGCAGAGGGCTGCAAAGTCCAAGAAGATGGACAAATGGAGGGAAGAAGAAAAGGAAGAAAAGGAGGAGACAGTGAAAACCACTGAAAATAAAAAAACATTCTTGAAAGTCCCCAAATGACAAAGCACTCAACAGCCAAGTACTCAAGATTTATGAAGATAGCTCCAAGGCCAGAAACCACGCACTAACCTGAGATGAGAGTCTTTTATATGTAGAGTTGAACTTTCAAGTGGGGAAATGCCAAGGTCCAAAGACAAATGCAGCAAAAGATTTTAAACAGTGAAGTTTAGGG